TTCCATATCATGCAACATCATGCCCAGTATTTAGATGACAATTGCCTGGGAAGAAGCTCTTGCTCTTCTGAGAACTCTTTTTCTTCAGAGGGCTCTCTCTCAGACTCTCTGGAGTTCTATCTCTCCCTCACTCTCTTTTTGGGCTTCTCGCTTGTCTAGGATTGCAGTGTTGGGACTTACCTGTTTTGGAATCGTTTGCCAGGATGGGACAGGTGTTGGTCACCAAGTGGTGAGCAACTACAATGTGCATCACTTGTTTGTGTATGTTATTATCTACTGCAAGATGAATAGATCTGTAAAACAGCTATCTGCTTGCTGCTGTATGGCAACAGTCCCTCCGTGTCAGGAGAGAAGTCTACTAGCTTGGGGACTATGTTAGCAGTCTTCCTTCTCCAACCAGGAAAGAAACGTACCCGCGCCAAACAGCTTGTGATATATACCTAGAGAGACAGTTGTATTTCTTAAACAAGTGGAATAAGCCTGTACCTGCTGGAACCGGAATGATTCTGATCTCTTTTTCTGGTTCAGTTGCCACTCCTTAAAATGAAGTACAGCTTCATCAACAGTGAGTATGCCCATTTTCACTTGCTCCTGTAACGTAATCAGCTGCCGTTGACCTGGTGTTTTCATTCCAGCAAATGGATCATATATGCTTGATTGAGACAGGTCCCTTAGAGGCCTGACTATTGTCTCTGAAGAGAACACCAAAAATATTACTGAACTTGTGGCATCTGCCCTTCTCACTGAATACAGAGAAACTTAAGCACCCCCTTGATATAGCAGAAATGCAAAAAAAAAAAAAAAAAAAATCAGTGTTATAGACTGTGTTTCCCTAACCATAAGAGTGTTTTGTCATTATGCCATCCTGCTACTTGTCAGGGCTAAAAGCCCAGCTGAGAGGTAGCCTTGTACACAAGTATGTCCCAGGAATAATCTCTGTTATTAAAACAATTTAAGCAAACAGCACAAAATGTACTCCTTAAAGTGCTCTGCTTCCTCACTGCAAAAATATCTCTCTCCTCAGCAATCCACAAACCACAGCTTTCACCTTGGCAGTCACAAACCTAGACTCTTCCTAGGTAATATGTGTAGTGTAACTCCAGAAATAGAAAGGTGAAAATTCATCCTATTGATGCTGGCTCTTTAACTCATTTGCAACATAAAGATGAGTTCCCAACATATGACATAAAAGCTCAGATGTGGTTCCTGGCACTCTGATAGTGCACAGGATAAGAGGTGAAGGAATTTCAGTTTTGGAAGTGCAGAGATCAATGGCAAGCAGTTCACTAAAGGTTAAATCCTCAAAAATAATGATCAACAGGCCGTGGCTATATCCAGAAGATCAAAAGTGGGACATCGACTCCATGAAGTAATATGGGTCACAACATAAAAAAGGACTTCAATGATCCTTTATGATCCTGACTGAGGATAAACTCCAAGATGGGATATGTACACTATGTGATACAAGGGTACACCCCTCATACTCTGCAGTTATAAAAAGTTTCCAGTGTCACATAAGGTCAGACAGGTTGGGTCATTCATCTAGGACTATTATCCCCAGAGCCTTGTAAAACAGACTATTCTGTCACAATTCACACAATTGAAGCTACCTCAGCAGATTTGCTTTTGGATTACTAGAAAGATTTTCAAGGTGAAATTCTGACTTACCTTTCTTAACCCTTCCTCTAGGGACATAGAGATTCTCAGGTCTTTGAGCTTTTTGTGCAAAAACTGTAAAACAAACACTCTTTAGATACCGAAATGCATCTCATGAAAACAGAAATAGCAAGGACGAACATGGGAAGCATTCACAATTCTGCACTGCATTACAGCTGCTGTTACTCTACTAAGTCCATCGAAGAAAACAAGATAAGGAGTTGTACACTCGAGCTCCTCTTCTACTGACCTCGAAGAATTTAGCTCAGCCACCTCTAAGAGAAATCTGGACATGCTTTCCCCACAGTCCTGTCATGGGGGAAGGAGTCGTCATTGAAATTCCTCTCCCACATGTTACTGTAGTTCTTGATAGAATGTTTGTGAAATATGACCAAGATTGCCAAAACTGCCTAGCAAACAAAGAGGCACAATTTTCTTCAATTTCAATTAAACCCCACCTCAGAGAGAGGTACAGAATCATGTCCTATGTAAATGCTATTGAATCAATGATACCATTATAGAGCAGCAATGTCTCACTTTATTAGCTTGATTGTGTCCTTATAATATCAGGATCTTTCCTATTTAGTTGGATTTGTTTATGCAGTCTGGAAGTAATCTGTCATCCTACGGCTTTGACTAAGAGCAAGCTCAAGCTAAGGCTTCAGGATACAATATCCCCACGTTTTCAGAGCAAGCATAAGATGAAAAACAGATCTGAAATTGAATCCCAAAGGTAATCCAGCTCTTCCAGAGTGAGAAAGGCTCCAGAGCCAAATAATCCTTGGCATTTATTTAGCAACTGGAGCCCATGGCAAGGCTGTTCTACAGTTGATTAGTCTAGCCCTGGTACCCAACTCACTTTTGGAGATGTACAGCTCATTGTCCGGCTGTGGAGAGCTGGATTCCGGTCTTGGAACAGGAACTGGAGGTCTGCTAGCCATTTCCTGTGGAAGAGTATCTTGTTCCACTGAGTAGTATACATCTTCACCATACTGCTGGTAAACTTCCTCTGAATCTGGTACATCCATGTTGCTGCCTACAACAGAGTAGAGTTTGTAAGAAAAACAACCTGGCCACTTCACTAAACACTGGATCCCTCCAGAGGCACTACGTACCACATTCTTACCAACCTGGCCATTTCATAGGCAAAAACATCCAGTTCTGCAGTCACTCAAAGTGCCAAAGCCCTTCAAGACAGGACTTTAAAGTCATTAACATCTAGTAGCACATAAGTTTTTGCCACTAAGCCTGTACCATCTGTTTTGGTGAAGAAACCATAGTGGAAATCTCATAACTGTTTTTAAGAACTCGAGGAATAGGTAGTTCATTTAATTCCAGTTAATTAACACATCATAACAGTTAACAAATCAAAGAGAGCTCTGTTTTTTCCCAAAAGCTACTTGTGGTGGTCTACAGAGTACTCCAGAGAATTATTCCTTTGTCTGAAATGAGCAATTGCCATCAGCTGACAATACACTTGATCTCAGAACAATGTGTCTCAGAGGAAGCTGGGCTGAGTACACACATCTGTGTGATGTTGTAACACCTAGTTGAGTCAATGCAACGGGACTGCCAGAGCATCGGTGTTGGCAAGGAAAACAGAACAACATGTTAAGAGCCACAGACTTAATCTTGCTCTGCCTCTAGCCGGGTCATCCACAGAGAGTGAGCCTGTATCCCATGGAACCTGGTGAGTCAGGAAAAGGTTTGGACAACCTGATCCCGCTCAGTGGGGACAGCATAGAGCTAAGGTGTGGCTTTGGTCAGAGAAGGCAGAGGGAGCAGTGAAGAGGCAGAGCATAGATCAGGTTTGGGAGCCAGCAGTTCTTTTCCTCTTTCCAGGCTGCCAATTTCAATGGACGGACTTTTGAATAAAACATCTACATTAAAATTAATCACTAGTTTATGGTGCTCTACTATATACTCAGCCTCTGTCCATCATCAGGACACCAGAATTAATTCCCATCACTAAGATAAGGACAAAAGACAGCCATTCCTGAATAGATACCAGCTGTGTGTTTGCACTAACTGGTAGGCAGGGACTGAAACTAAAAATCACTCCTCCGCTTTGGTAAGAAACTAACCACATTTGTGAAATCACCTCTCAAGCTGCTTTTTGTTGTGCCTTGTTTGTACTCACTAAGGCAAAGCTGTCCATGTCAAACAGTGTGGACTAGCTCCTATCATTAACAAATCAAGAAGAAATCTCAAGTTCTGTTTAATTGGTTTAACCATGCTACTGTCATCCCTCTCTCCAAAGAGGTCTCACCTTCTAAAAACTTGCGGAGCATTGAGTCTTTTGTAGTTAGAGAAACTTCATCTCCAGCTACTGGAGTGTCTGGTTTGGTCTGAAGCATCTCTACATCTGAGAAAAAGTAGAAAGATGAACTTGTTAATTATGCCCTTAAACATGTTGAACAATGTAATATAATATAATAAAATGATGTGATATTTCTGACTGGAGCTATGGCCTATGGTGAAAATCAAAGAGGAAGCCAGGCAACTGACCAGATACTTGCCTCAAAAAAGACTCCTAAGTTGCTATGCTCAGTCCACTCTGCACAAATCTTTGTCAGCTGCCTGATGCTTAAAGTTGAGGGTGACTAACATGGCTTATGGAGAAGTTATGACAATGTTCCAAGCAGGCACTGAAGATTAGCTAGTATTGAGAGTGTATTGGCCAAGTGAAGGTTTTGGCCTCTGCACAGTGCTCCTGAGAGATCAAACAATGAAAACTCTGCGACTTGGCAATACAAGACATTAAGGGCAATTTGGCCACAACAGAAGACAGTATTTGCTTTGTTTATTGGACAAAA